GGACGGGCTGGATAAGTCAAGGTGCGCTGGAACAGTGAGGATTGGCTGAGGATTGCAGAGGCGACGAGGACGAGCTGGAAAGGGGCGGTGAGGAAATCCTGAGGGTTGTGCAGGGGGAAGGTGAGATCGGGCACAAGAACAGTGTTGTGAGGCAGGGCTGTGAGGACAAGCTGGAGACGGGAGCACTGAGAATAAACGGGAGGCGGGTACGGTGATGGCGAGCTAAGGTCGGGGGCGGTGAGGACGGACTGAAGGCGTGTACGGTGAAGGTGGGGTGAGATCGGGGTCGGTGAGGACGGGCTGGGGACGGAGGTGTGAGGACGGGCTGCAGGTGGGAGCACTGACGACAGACTGAAGGCGGGTACGGTGAAGGCAGGCTGAGGGCGTGGGCGGTGAGGACGGGCAGGGGGATAGGAAGTGCGGATGAAATTGACCTTATTGATGAAGGCTTAGGCGGGGCCCGCGCGGGCGGTGAGGTCTGGTGGGCGGTCAGCGGGGCGCTGCTGAGCGCTGCTCACCTGCAGGATGTGCGTGCCCTGGTGCTGTTCGAACATCTCCATGGCGAGGCCGGCGGTGGTGCGCGGGCGTACGGGACCACCTGCAACAGCACACCGCAGCGCTCAGAAACGGTTGCATTTCTTGGGATGAGAGGAAATGTGGTCTGCCCACAAACAGACAGCGCTGCAGAATTGGGATGAGCAGCTTTCTGCACAGACGTCATCCAAGTAACGCAGTCCCTTTCCGATTGGCGAATCCATTTAACTCCCTCAAAGCGGAAAGATACATCGTTCTCATTCATTCTCAATTCACCATTCTATTTCTTTACGAACGATAGTTTGGTTACTAGATCTATGAAAAAGTCAACATCTGGATTTCAATGAGTAATTGTGCTTGACACAAAAATCGTGTTAGATACAAAATGAGATATGATAATTTTCGTTACGTATTTTGTCATTTTAAAACAACCAATATTTTTACTAATTATTGCCGACACCATATTTCATCCTCAGTTGAGCGTTTTTTAGAGGGAAGACGATTCCAGACATACTCGAAAGTTATCAGAATGAGGTAGAAGGCGAGAAGGCGCCACTAACTGGACGTTGCCATCGATTTTCCGTTGGTGAATATCATTCCAAATACGGACAAACATTAATTGATATCCTTAGAAAGCATTTTAAATGAATACAATCACATTTATCTGAACCTTTAATGAGCACTTCACTACATCATTCAGAAGCTGCAAAGTTTTTAAGCACCGTAATTAACTGTGTTGTAAAGTAAATGTTCACGATCTGTACTAAAAAAATAATTCAGTTACTATTTCGTCGTCGTCCTCGAAAATAATTTCTGGCAAACACCGAACGCATTACAACTCAT